GCCCGCGTTTGCCCGCCCGCACCATGCTCAAGTGCATCCCGCTGTGGCGCTGCAACCGGCACGTGGAGTCGGTGGACCGGCGGCACTGCTCGCTGCAGGCGGTGCCCGAGGAGATCTACCGCTACAGCCGCAGCCTGGAGGAGCTGCTCCTGGACGCCAACCAGCTGCGCGAGCTGCCCAAGGTGAGCGGCGGCACCTGCTCGGCGCCGGCGTTCGCCGGCCGCGCGGGGGCAGCGCAGCGTCCGGGCGGGCCGTGCTGGTTCTTTCTGGCCGGGGCCGCGCTCTCCGGCCCCACCCTCCCGGCTGGCTCGGCCGCCTGGGCTGGCACCGGGGGACGGCGGCCTTCGGGTGCCTGCGTGGGGGTCACGGGCCCGGCGAGCGGGCACTCGTAGGGGCAGCAGCAGGACGGAGGGCTGGCCGATCGGTTCCAACGTGCATGCTCTCGGGGCTCCCGGTACTCTCAGAGGTGGGCGCCGGCCGCCCCCACGTGCCGCTCGCCACCCTTCTCGGCCGCGTGGCCGTGTGGGGCGCTCCAGAGAGGTCCCTCGCCGGGGTTGATAGCCCCAGCGGGCGGGCCTTCGTGGTTCCTGCAGCTCTTGACTCTGATGCTGACCCTTGGTGCTTTCTCCTGGGATGCTGGTCGACTAGGTTCCTGCTCCCCGCCGGCTGGTCCAGCCGCTGGAGTGCAGTGGCACAAACCAGGCCGGCCACCCCCAGGGGCTCATCTGCGGGTGGCAGAGGCAAAGGGAGTGGAGCCCTCTGGCAAACCGCTGGGTGGCCATGAGGAGGCTGGCTGGGCCGGAGCCAGGGCCTCTCAGCTGAGGTTTGCACCTGTGAGCTGCACCACATCTTGAGGAGTGGTAGGCCTTTGCCCAGGGGTGGCAGAGGTCTTGGTCCCCGGCTTCACAGGTTGGGGACTGGAAGTCAGATCTTGCTGACCTCGCCTTAGACCGGCTTGTCATGGTGGGCCCCTCGACTCCCAGGGGGCACACGTGACCTGCAGACCCTGTCCAGGCTCGCTTGTGCTGGGGGGGCCAGCGTGTTCACTACACCCCTGCCTACAGCCCTTTTTCCGCCTGCTGAACCTCCGGAAGTTAGGCCTCAGTGACAACGAGATCCAGCGCCTACCCCCCGAGGTGGCCAACTTCATGCAGCTGGTGGAACTGGACGTGTCTCGGAACGGTGCGGAGAGGGGTGGGGCAGGGGCTCGGCGCTCTGGGCGGCTGGCGGGTTCTTTCCTGCTGACCCATCCCCTGTCACAGACATCCCTGAGATCCCGGAGAGCATCAAGTTCTGCAGGGCTCTGGAGATCGCCGACTTCAGCGGGAACCCTCTGTCCAGGTGGGGAGCGGCTGGGGGCACAGCGGGGGGGCTGTGGCCCTGGCCTGGGGGGCTGAAGTGGCTCTCTGTCCTCCCTCCCAGGCTCCCTGACGGCTTCACTCAGCTACGGAGCCTGGCTCACCTGGCCCTGAATGACGTGTCCCTGCAGGCGCTGCCGGGGGATGTGGGCAAGTGAGTGCCCTCAGGACTAGGGCCTCCTCCCTGATCTAGGCAGCCCCACTGCACCTGTTTCTCTGTCTCCTTCGTTTGTGTCCCTCACGCCCTGCCCCCCACCCTGGTCTCTCTCAGCCTTGCCAACCTGGTGACCCTGGAGCTGCGGGAGAATCTGCTGAAGTCCCTGCCAGCGTAAGTGCCCCGGCCCTCGCCACCCAGCGGGCAGCCATGGGGCCTGGGGCCTTGGATCGCCGTGGGCCACACTCTGTCTCCCTGCAGGTCCTTGTCCTTCCTGGTCAAGCTGGAACAGCTGGATCTTGGAGGCAATGACCTGGAAGTGCTGGTTTGTGTTGGGTCTGGTAGGGGCGGGGTTGGGCCCCGTCACACCCATCCCCTACCTGGGCCTGGAAGTACAGAGGCGGGGCTGGTGGGGCCCTGTCCCTGACGCACCTGTGCCTCACCTGCCCTCGCAGCCGGACACTCTGGGGGCCCTGCCCAACCTTCGAGAGCTGTGGTTGGACCGGAACCAGTTGTCAGCCCTGCCCCCAGTGAGTAGGGACACGGTGCTCCCTGGGCGCGCCCACGCAGCCCTCCCTCATTGCCTGGTGGCACAGTTTTCCTTGTGCCTGTGCCTGGCCCTCAGGAGCTTGGAAACCTGCGACGCCTCGTGTGTCTGGACGTGTCAGAGAACCGGCTGGAGGAGTTACCCGCAGAGCTTGGTGGGCTGGCACTGCTCACAGACCTGCTGCTGTCCCAGAACCTGCTGCAACGGCTGCCCGACGGCATTGGTGCGTGGGGCAGGGAGGGGACACAGGCGCAGAGCCACCTCTGGCCCGGCCGGGCCTGAGAGCATCTTGTTAGCGGGCACGTGTGGAGTTGCAGCCAGGGCTGGGGGAGGATGCTGAGAAGGTCTCTGATCTCAACGGGGTGGGAAGGGCAGGCTGAGCCGGGGCTGCAGCACGCTGGTCGTCGCCCAGGGTCTGGGTCAGCCGCCCAGGAGGGTGCCCAACCTCCACGCACTCACCCCTGCCCCCGTCTCTGTACTGCCAGGCCAGCTGAAGCAGCTGTCCATCCTGAAGGTGGACCAGAACCGCCTGTGTGAAGTGACCGAGGCCATCGGTGACTGTGAGAACCTGTCTGAACTGATCCTGACCGAGAACCTCCTGACAGTGAGGCCTGGCCCTGGGGCCTGGGCGGGGGTGGTGACTCCAGCACAGGCCAGCTCTGGGCGGGCAGCAGTGCCAGAGTGTGGAGCAGACATGGAGTGTGCTGGGGATGCTCGTGCACATGCAAATGTGCACTGGTCACCAGCGTGTGGGGGAAGCATGCGAGTGGAGGTGCGTTTGCATGCAAATGTGTACGGGAACAGGTTTCTGTGTAGGTGCCTGCTGGTGGCACGTACACGTTGAATGTGTGCAAGCACACGTTGGGTACGGGTATCTACAGAGATGGGTAACTAGGTGGGGTCACGTGCACGAAGGTGTATGTACGTGTGCGTGTGTGCACGGGTATGTGCACTTAGGTGTGTATCGGTACAGCTCTCTGCGGGTAGGCGTGTGTTGGTACGTGAACGTGTGGACGTGCCCATACAGATGGTTATGCATATGGGGGGGCGTGTGCACAGGCACGTGAGTATCTGCTGATACGAGTGTATATGTAGTCATACGTGAAGGTCTGTGTATGTGTAACTGTGTATCTGGTCACATGGATTTGTACGTTTAGACGTGTGTGCAGGTATATGTGGTTGTGGGTAGACAGGTACAGGCACATGTGTGTATTTTCAAGCAAGTACACATACAGATGGAGATAGTGGCGTGTGTGCGTATGCAAACGTGAGCCTAAAAACATAGGTGGTTGTGCGTGTACGTCTGTACAGGTAAGCACGGAGGTGGGAGTGACTGTGCGGCCAGGTGAACACACATGTACGTAAGGGTGGGAGGCCTGTGTGTGTAGTCACGTGTGTATAAGTAAGTGGGAGTAACAGCGTGTCTCACAGAGTTCTCGCAGTGCTGAGGAAGTCTGCTCAAGAGAGAGCTTCCTGGGCAAAAGTTGTGGCTGGGACGGGTGGTCAGAGAGGCTAGGTGTGGAGCCCTCTCGGATAGGGGTAAAAAGTTGGACGGTACTTTTTACCTTGCTATGGGACACAAGGATAGGAGGTGACGTGCGTTTGGCAGAGGGTGAGCTAGAAGGTGGGGGTCAGCTCGCTGAGTCATCATGAGGCCAGGAGAGTGAGGGTGGGGAGGTCTGGGCCAAGGAGATTCAATAAGGGAGGTGATGGGTGGGCATGTGGGCAGAGTGGAAGCAGGGCCAAGGTGGCAGAGCCCCAGGACGGATGTGCCCAGGAGGTAGGCTGGGTTGGGGAGCCCTGGGCACGGTGCCGCTGAGCAGGAGCAGGCAGTGCCAGGGCCCAGGTGGCTCCCAGGGCGTTTCCAAGGAGAGTGGACAGCTGGCGTGGCCCTAGGCTCTCAAGCTGGGGCTCCAGAAGGCACAGAGACAGTGGCTACCATCCTGGGCTCGCCTAGCTCTGTGTCGGTAGTAGGGCTGCAAGGTCAGCGGCAGTGGGTAGCAGGGAAGACTGTCCTCAGGGTGGAAAGGGAGGAGGACCCTCAGGTGCTGCCTCCTGCCCAGGCCCTGCCCCGATCGCTGGGCAAGTTGACCAAGCTGACCAATCTCAACGTGGACCGGAACCGCCTGGAGGGGCTGCCGCCCGAGATCGGCAGCTGTGCTGCACTCAGTGTCCTCTCCTTGAGGGACAACCGCCTGGCTGTCCTCCCTCCAGAACTTGCCCACACAGCTGAGCTCCATGTGCTGGATGTGGCTGGGAACCGGTAAGCTCGGCCTAACCCTGCACCCACCTGCCCAGCTGACCACACCCACAGCCCTGGCCCATCCTCTGGGTCACACCCACACTCCTCTTTCCTGCCCTCCTGGTCACACCCACAGCCCTGGCCTGACTATACTTACGTTCCACCCCACCTTCCTGGCCACGCAGTACTCTCCTGTGCATCCCTGACCCCACCCACACTCCTGGCCCACTCTCCTAACCACACCTACATTCCTCTGCCCCACCCCCTGACCACACCCACACCCCTGACCACATCCACACTCAGCCCCGCCCTCCCAGCCATGCCCACAGTGTTGGCCACACTCCTGCTGACTGAGACCACTCCTTGCAGGCTGCAGAGTCTGCCCTTCGCCCTCACCCACCTCAACCTCAAGGCCCTGTGGCTGGCCGAGAACCAGGCCCAGCCCATGCTGCGCTTCCAGACGGAAGATGATTCCACAACAGGGGAGAAGGTGCTCACCTGCTACCTGCTGCCCCAGCAGCCCCTGCCCAGCCTCGGTAGGTGATGGTGTCCAGGGCGGGCTGGGCCCCCGCAGGTTGCAATGGCCTGACACTGGCCTCCCACAGAGGATGCCGGGCCTCAGAACAGCCCCAGTGAGAGCTGGAGCGACGCCCCGCTGAGCCGCGTCAGTGTCATCCACTTCCAGGAGGTCCTCGCGGGCGCTGAGGATGCTGAGGAGGCCGCTTCCGAGACACGGGTATGGGGAGGAGGGGGGCCCTGGGTGGGGCACCTCCGCCACCCCGCCTGACCTGTGCCCCTGCCCCTCACCTTGTCCCCCTGCAGGGCCTGCAGCGCCGTGCCACGCCTCACCCCAGTGAACTCAAGGTGATGAAGAGGGGCATTGAGGAGCGACGGGGAGAACGCCCCTGCCGGCCGGGCCCTGGGCAGCCCTCGCCCTCACCCTCAGAGGAGGTGTCGGCGGACCTGCGGGTAGGGTCGCCGCAGAGGGCTAGGGCAGGCTGGAGCTTAGGCAGGGACGTGATGCCCCCAGTGAGTGGGGAGACGGGCTGGGGGGGTTGCCTGCAGCCAGGACAGAGGGCAAGCAGTGCAGGGTGGGAAGGTGAGGGACCAGCGCCCAGGGTGGCACGGCTCAGGTGGTAGCTACCCAGGAGGGGGTGAGTGCTGCAGCTAACCCCCGCGTCCCACTGCAGGAGAAGAGGCTGAGCACCGAGTCCGGGCTGAGCGAGGCCTCGCGGCCGTCTGCTAGCACCGCTTCTGAGGGAGAGCCTGAGGGCCCCCCAGCGGAGGTGGAAGACTGGGGCCAGCAGGAGGCCACGCCGGCCAGCCTGGAGGCTGAGTATGAGGAGGTGAGGTTGGGCGGGCAGGCACCCCCCGGGGGTCACCGCAGCGTGGGCTGCTGTGATGCTGTGCCGACAGCATCTAGGGTGCACGTAGGTGGGCTCCCTCCACCGCAGGGCCTCGGGGCAGGGCCAGGCGGCCACCTCCTTGACACACATACCCACAGCCCACAGTTCGCTTTGCGGAAGACACGCTGCTCCCGCGAGAGGACAGCGAGGATGAAGAGGGGCAGCCCGAGGCGCAGTGGCCCGTACCAGGTGGGCGACAGCGACTCATCCGCAAGGACACGCCACATTACAAGAAGCACTTCAAGGTCTCCAAACTGCCGCAGCCTGAGGCCGTCGCGGCCTTGTTGCAAGGCGTGCGGCCGGATGGGGAGGGCCCAGGGCCCAGCAGCTGGCACAACGGCCCCCATATGCCCTGGGCTCCTCGGGCTGAGGAGGAAGAGGAGGAGGAGGAAGAGGAGGAGGAAGACGGGGTGCGAGACGAGGAGACCCTGGCCTCTGCACCCAACGTCAAGGTGGGTCTGGCCCCCCCGTGCTCTGACACTCAGCCCATGGAGCAGCATGTGAACCCCCAAGGCTAGCACACAGTTGCCTCGGCAGCCCAGCCATCTCCCATAGGTGAGGGCTTCACCCACTCCACTCGGGGCCTGTGGCTCCGTGGGCTCTGCAGATGTGCCAGCTGGTGAGGGGCGCACAGGGCCCCCTGCAGCTGTAGGTGCAGCACGGAGCTTCCCTGCACCCTGGCTTCTGTAAAGACCACCTCTTGTTGCCAGCCCTGTGGCCTTGCCCTGAGGCCTGGCTGGCTGGCAGCCCTTGAACACATTGAGTTCAGAGCCTGGGCCCTCCCCAGGCTTCCCGAGGGTCACCTCCACCCTGCTGGTGGCAGTATTTCAGTGGTTCCTGTCCTGAGGTGGCCTGAGATGACGCAGGGTTGGGGCCAAGGTGATCTGGAGACCCTGGGGTTCCCCGTGCAGCAGGGGCTCTGGAGATGCTGAGCCGGCCCAGAGGGAAGCCAAGGGAGTGGGCTGGTTTCTCACTAAACAGCCTCAGACTCCCAAATCCCAAATAGGGATACCCCCTACTCCCAGAGGATCCAGGAGCCCTCACAGCCACAGGCTGGGTGCATGCCTCACCACTCCAAGGTGCAAGCAGTGCAGTGGGTGGGTGCCTCACCACCCCAGGGTGCAGGTGGTACAGTTGGCAGGCGCTGGGGCTGTGGGGCTTGGTGTGCGTGCTCTCTTTCTGCCTCGCAGCCGGGCCGGGCGGTGGCAGGCTGGCGGTGGCAGCTCTGACCTGCATGCCTCGCTGGTCCTGTCCTAACAGGGGGTGTCGTTTGACCAGGCCAATAACCTGCTGATAGAGCCCGCCCGCATTGAGGAAGAGGAGGTCGGTACCCCCACCGCTCTTGCTGGCTTCTGGGCTGCGGGCTCTTGCACTCTGTCCTTCCTTGGCTTACACAGCTTTTCCCAGGGGCCACCCCATACTTGCACACCCCACCTGCCACCTGGAAGCCCCTGTGCTGTGGGTGTAGCCTCTGGTCTCCACTGCCCAGGGGCAGGCAAGCCCTCCTGCCCATGTTCCCAGGGCCTGGCTACCAGGAGGACCGGGTCATCCCACGCCCTTTGCTGGGCAGACCTGGACGTACTGTGTGCTTCCATTCCCAGCTGACGCTTACCATCCTACGGCAGACAGGGGGCCTGGGCATCAGCATCGCGGGAGGCAAGGGCTCCACTCCTTACAAGGGAGACGATGAGGTGAGGGCTCGTGTCGCCTCTCTCCACCCACTCCCATGCCGCCCCTCGTCGTCCCGCCTCAAGTCTGGTACCTTTGCCTCATGGTCCCTCTCTCGTGGTCCCACCTCGTCCCTGGTACCTTTGTCTTTCATGGTCCCTCTCGTGGTCCCGCCTCATCTCCAGTACCTTTGCCTGCCTCTCTCCAGCTTTTCGCTGTTCTGAGCGGTGTCACTTGGTGACTTTGGGGCTCGTGGTAACTTTTTTTCTGGGTCTTGCTTGCACTTGGAGTTTCCTGCTGCTAGACGAATGTACTCACGCTTGGTGCCTGGGCACAAAGAGACAGGAGCAGGCCACCAAGGTGCCCACGCTGGTTAACGTCGGAGGGCCCTTACTCTCCCCACGGTCTCGCTCTCTCTGTTACGGCCTTAGGTGTAGCACAGGGCCACAGCCCTGTGTCCTGCACCCCGGGACCACATGGTGGCCTGCACCCACAACCAGCAGCAGAGCTCCAGCCCTCGCATCCCCACCAAGTCCCAACGGGATCCACACCTGGGTTGGGTGCCTGGAGCCTTGGCAGAGTGGCGTGGTCAGGGCCGGGCCGGGAGCTGGTCTCCCACGGCATGAAGGCTTCTAGGCCCTTGTGCCTGCTGTGGGTTTCCCAAGGACACCCCGGCTTGCTGCCCCGCTGACCTCAGACCTATGTCCTGCAGGGTGTGTTCATCTCTCGCGTGTCAGAGGAGGGCCCTGCGGCCCGGGCTGGGGTCCGCGTGGGGGACAAGCTCTTGGAGGTGAGTCCTCGGTGGCTGCTTGCAGCCTGTACTCGGGGTGCTCCTCCCACCCCTTCCTGCTCTGCAGGCTCTCGACAAGGCCCAGGGGGCTGCCTGCTCCTGTGAGGGGCTTGCTCGGCAGCCCTGCTGGGGAGTCCAGGAGGCCTGCTGCCATGGAAGCGGTTGGGGGACTCATCCGGAAGGGGGGCCGAGCCCTTGGCACCCAGCCCTTCTGCCTGGCATGCATGTTGGGGGGTCATGGGGAGCAGGGCCTGGGGGTGCCCTTCCCACACGGGGGGCGTGGAGACACCGTGGCTGGGTCAGGAGAGTACGCCGGGCAGGGGTCCGCTCCTCCAGCCTGTGCCCTGGCCCCAGGGCCACACGGCACCCACAGGCAGGAGGGCGGCAGTCACCAGGAGATTAGGCTGGAGCCTGGGGACTCGGTCAGTCTTGGGCTGGGGGTGACGGCCGCCTGTCCTGCAGGTGAACGGCGTGGCCCTGCAGGATGCAGAGCACCACGCGGCGGTGGAGGCCCTGCGGGGCGCTGGCAGCACGGTGCACATGCGGGTGTGGCGGGAGCGCATGGTGGAGCCCGAGAACGCCGTCACCGTGACGCCGCTGCGGCCCGAGGACGACTACAGCCCCCGGGAGAGGCGCGGGGGCGGCCTGCGCCTGCCTCTGCCCCCAGCTGAGGCCCCCGGGCCCCTGCGCCAGCACCACGCCGTCTGCCTGGTGCGCAGCGACAAGGGGCTGGGCTTCAGCATCGCTGGAGGGAAAGGTTCTACGCCTTACCGGGCCGGTGACACGGTGAGACCAGGGGGTGGGTGGAGCCTGGGGCAGGCGCAGTTGCTCAGGCTCCCTGAGAGTGGTGGCGGCCGGGGCACAGGGCACGGGCCTCCCTTACCGCTGGGCACCCCCACAGGGCATCTTCATCTCTCGCATCGCAGAGGGTGGCGCTGCCCACCGTGCAGGCACCCTGCAGGTTGGCGACCGCGTCCTGTCGGTGAGTGGGGTGGCCTGGGGAGAAGGGCTGGCTGCACCCCGTCTCCCGCTGGCTCGCTCACCAGGCGCTGCTCTTGCAGATCAATGGGGTGGACATGACTGAGGCCCGGCACGACCACGCCGTGTCTCTGCTCACGGCCGCCTCACCCACCATCGCCCTGCTGCTGGAGAGGGAGGCCGGGCCACCCCAGCCCCCCAGTCCTCCCCCACATTCCTCTCCCCCCCTTGCTGTTGCCATCACCCCAACCACAGCCACCCCTGGGGAGCCCCGGCCACCAAGGCTGGCCCCCGGCCTGCTGACCGCTGCCCTGGAGGGGCCCTACCCAGTGGAGGTGAGACTCTCCTTGGCCCCCATCACCTTTGCTGCTCTGAGGACGTGGGCTGTGGTTCCCTGGACCTGTTCCTGTGGCGGCAGTGCCAGGTGTTCTGTGGCTAACTGAGTCCACAGTCAGCTGACTTTTGCTGTGGTTCTCACTCCCGACTCCTGCTATGTGCCCCCAGACGGCCTGTGCCCCCCAATGCCGCTGCCACCCGCCTAGTCCTGGCCATGGTCGCTAGGGCTGTGGCTAGAACTGACAGGTCCTGTCCCTTCCTCTGGACACAGGGGATACCCCACTTGTCACCCCTGATACTGCTTGTGCCTTTGGGTGATACCTACTTTCTCTGGGCCCCATGGTTGGGAAAGCGCCCTCCCGGCCACACCCCCTCTGTTGTGGGTCCTGGTGACAGCGCACAACCCCTGAAGGCTCCCCCACCCCCGTGTTCCCAGGAGATCCGGCTGCCCAGAGCGGGAGGTCCTCTGGGGCTCAGCATTGTCGGGGGCTCTGACCACTCTAGCCACCCATTTGGCATCCAGGAACCAGGCGTGTTCATTTCCAAGGTAGGGGAAGCACGGCACCACCTGGGTGGGTGCCAGCAAGGAGGCCGTTTCCCGACGGGCCTGGTCAGCGGCCCCCACCCACCAGGCTGCCTCCCCGCCCAGGTGCTCCCCCGGGGCCTGGCTGCACGCAGCGGCCTTCAGGTCGGGGACCGAATCCTGGCTGTGAACGGACAGGACATCCGGGAAGCCACGCACCAGGAGGCAGTCAGTGCCCTGCTCCGGCCCTGCCTAGAGCTGTGTCTGCTCGTACGCAGGGACCCACCGCCCCCAGGCATGAGGGTAGGTGCCAGGGCCGGGGCCAAGGATGGGAGAGGTTTTGTGCCCATGCCCACTGCCAACCCCAGCTGCCTGCCCGCCCTGTCCCAGGAGCTATGTATTCAGAAGGCTCCCGGCGAGAAGCTGGGCATCAGCATCCGTGGGGGCGCCAAAGGTCACGCGGGGAACCCCTGTGACCCCACCGATGAAGGTGTTTTCATTTCCAAGGTGAGGCTGCATCCCAGTGCTGGAAGGTGGGGACTGGGTGCCGGGAGGTAGGAGGCGGGAGGTAGGAGTCAGGTCCTGGGAGGTGGGTGCTGAGTGCAGGGAGGTGGGTGCTAGGTGCAGGGAGGCAGATGCTGGGTGCTGGGAGGTGGGTTCTGGGTACTGGGAGGTGGGAGCTAGGAGGCAGGTGCTAGGAGGTAGGGGCTGGGTGCAGGGAGCTGGATGTTGGGTGCTGGGAGACAGGAGTTAGGAGGCAGGTGTTGGGAAGCAGGAGCTGGGAGGCAGGTGCTGGGTGCTGGGAGGTAGGAACTAGAAGGCTAGTGCTAGGAGGTGGGTGCTGGGTACTGGGAGGTGGGAGCCAGCTGCAAGGAGGTGGGTGCTAGGAGGTGGGTGCTGGGTGCACCATGTCTCTGCAGGTGAGCCCCACGGGGGCAGCAGGCCGGGATGGCCGGCTGAGGGTGGGGCTGCGGCTGCTGGAGGTGAACCAGCAGAGCCTGCTGGGCCTGACACATGCGGAGGCCGTGCAGCTGCTGCGTGGTGTGGGAGACACCCTTACCGTACTCGTCTGCGATGGCTTCGACACCAGTGCCACTGGCCTGGAGGTCAGTGTGTATGTGTAGCCCGGAAGGCATGTAGGGCAGTCGGGGATAGCCCATGCCTGGGGGCTTTTGTTGGGGAACAACTTTGTCCCAGAGTCAGTCCAGTTGGATGCATGTTCTAAGATGGAGAGGAGGGGGCAGGGCGCCATGGCAGGGAACTTGGTCACGTGGCCAGAACAGAGGTGGTTAGGACCCTGCCCAGGCATGGCCTGGGCCCAAGCCGAGTAGCCAGCGCCCCTGAAGGGTGTGCACAGCCCGCCCTCCAGCAGGTCCTCTGTCCCGTGGCTTGTTCCAGACTCTGGGTCCCAGACAAGCCGTCCCGTCCTGCCCCATGGGGACCCCCTGGCCTGCTCTCTGGCTCTCCTTCCCCGCCCACCCTGGCCTATGGGCACGTCCTGAGGGTCCTAGGACAAGGCTCTGGCTCCTCCTCAGGGCTGTCTCGAGTGCTGCGTCCCTCTGGGTGGGCCGTGTCCTTGGGGCTGTCTCGAGTGCTGCGTCCCTCTGGGTGGGCCGTGTCCTCGGGGCCCCGAGTGCTGCGTCCCTCTGGGTGGGCCGCACGCCCCCGCACCACCAGTGGGCCATCGTTTGCCACTTCATCCTGTCATCATGCTGATGGGGTGGGTTTGCCTCTCTTTCTACACTGCACCTCAGGCTGTGGTAACCACGGCAACTGCTTCCGGGGCTGGGACCACCAGCTGGGTCCTTGCTGTCCTTCCCCCAAGTGTGCTCATAGGAGCCCCACCTGGCCCGCCCCATGTGGTTAGCACACAGGCCCTGCAGCCAGCGGCTGCTGAGAAGAGGGCATGGGGGCTGCGTCTTTGGACCTGGGCTCCGACCTCATGAGGGAGGGCTTTGTTAGCACCAGCTACAGGCTGACTCCTGGGAGGCGGAGCTCAGACATGCCACCAGCCCACAGCTGTCCCCCAGTTCTGACACCAGCCGTCCCTCCCACAGCCTACTTCCCTTCTGGGTTCTTTTTCTAGTGATTGCAGTGGCCACACACAATGCAAAGGCAGTCCTCTCGGTTGTGGGCTTTATCGGGGAAGGAACAGGTTATCATTCAGGTTCGGGAACAACTCGGGGTCCAGTTCTTCAGTCCAGACAGCCTCCTCTTGGCCTGGCCTCTGCCCTGCTCAGGCAACTTAACAGCTCGTAGCTTGGCCAACAGATGCACCGCCAGCAGGCCTCCTGCCCAGAGACGCTCAGCTTCTCGCTGCGTGGGCAGCAGGCCTGCTGCTCTGTCCCATGCCGGCCTCAGTTCTGCTCCCGTGTCACTGCCGTCTCTGTGCGGCGTCTACTCCTGGCTCTTCTCATGACTTGATGGCAGTGGGATCCCCCTTCCACCCCCAGCAGGGCTCACTCTAAGGCTAGCGGGATAGCAAAACAGATCCCCACATTAGGGTTCCAGACACCTTATTTGCATGGTCCCACCCCACGAGGGGGCCATGTACCATATTTACATTACTCATGTCTGGTCCCATTGGTGGGCTGCCTGACTCTGGCACAGTCCCACCCAGTCATCGGGTGGGAGTCACGCAGCTCGGCTGGGAGGCACGTGAAGTAACTGCGGGGCTGCCGTCAGGTCAGTGGGCTCTAGGCGTCCACATCACAGCTCCCGTGCCGTCTTCCCCCCAACCCTGTGTGTGGGTGGTTCCGCTGTGGTTACCACACCCCGTCTCATGGAGGGTCTCCTCCCTTCTCACCTCCGTTGTACTAGACGTGATGCCCTTTCCTAGCGAGCGCTCTTCCCTGGCATGCCCCAAGCGAGCCAGTGTCGTCCTCCTCGCTCTCGAGAAATGTGTGCTTTTAACCCTCCGAGAAGATTGGTTTGCCTTTCCGATGGTCCACTCCTCCGGTCTTCCCTAGTCATCCAGCCTTCGCGAATGTGTTCCACGGCTCGGGTCAGGCGCCTCTTCATCATTGAGGTGACATCGTTGCTTTTCTCGGGACATTAGAGAGGTCTTTGCAGATTTGCCCAGTGGAATGTGGTGTTTGAGTTCTGGACTGCTGGACGTCGACTGTGGGTCATGTCGAGTGGAATCGTTGATGGCTTCAGTTCCCTGCGTTGATCGCAGGGATCCATTGACCCCTAAGGTTTTCGTCAGCTGACTTTTGGAAGTAGATCATGGCAGGCCTTTCTTCCAAGTCTGAGTCTGGAAGCTCTGCTGAAACCTGCCCGTGGGTGAGGCTGCTGGTGTTTGAAACACCATGACATAGCTTCCAGCAGCCCAGCAACACGCAGCCCCCACGGTACAACACGCTGACAGACGGCACGCTTGCAGGTGGGATGCAGAAAAGGCTTCACCTTGTGTTTATTGCTTTACAGTGTAAACGCAGGCTGTTTTATTTAGCACACACACTTACTTTAGAGCCCTTAATTCAGAGAAAAGGAGAACAAAAATGGAGTCCCCGTGAAGGGTTCACACCTGCTGAGCGTATATGGAAGCAGGTCCCAGCTCAGCCCCTTCCTCCCCAGAGGCTGCCCAGCTGGCGCTGGGGTGCCATTTCCACCATTGGGTGGCTGTGCACTGGCCCTGTCCTTGGTGAGTGGTGCGGCGTTGCCCAGCTGTCCCCCGCTGTGAGTCGATACCTGACAGGCCGGGTCACCCACTTCTTTTCTCCAGTCTGCTTGTTCCCGTGCGTTTTGTCTTCTGAACAAGTTCGCCACATTCTCGCAGCCCACACTGGGCACTGGGATTCGCTTTGTAGGACTTTGTTCCTAGTGTGAATGAGCTTGTTCCGAGTACATTCATGGGTGGCTTCTGTTTTCTTACTCATCTTGTTGTTAGGGGCTGTCCAGCGGGCTCTGCCTCACAGCGGCCCTGTGCGCAACAGCGCAAAGCTCTGCCTGGCCCTGCGCCGGCCACACAACCCTTGCTGTGCACGAGCCCATCCTGCAGCCACGTGGGTAGATCCACCTCGTTGAGGGCCTTCCCTTTTCCCTGACCCTCCACTTTACCAAGCATGACATCCTGCTCCAGGAAATGGTCCCTTCTGACAACGTGACCAAAGTAGGTGAGACGAAGTCTGGCCATTCTCGCCTCCAAGGAGCATTCCGGCTGCACTTCTTCCAGGACAGATCTGTTCGTTCTTTTAGCAGTCCATGGTACCTTCAGCGTTCTTCACCAGCACCACAACTCAGAAGCATAGACTCTTCTTCGGTCTTCCTTGTTCCTTATCCAGCTCACGTGCACGTGAGGTGACTGAGCATGTCATGGCCTGGGTCAGGGCCCCTTAACTCATTTTAGCAGATCTAACCAGACCACTACTGTCAAGCAGATCCCAGCTCAGGGCGACACCATGTGTTGCAGTAGGACTCTGCTCCATCGGGTTTTCCAGGGCGCACTCGTCAGCGAGCGATCACCAGGTCTCTCTCCCCAGGTGTCTCTGGGCAGGTTTGAGCCACCAGCCTTCAGGTTAGCAGCCGAGCGTGTTCACTGGCCACTCAGGTTCCTCACAGATCCTGGTAAATGGCTTGTGTTTCACCTTCAGGTGGAAGCCCTGTTGTCTGAGGTGGCGCTGGGGGGCTCCTGCCCAGCATCTCACCTCGCAGGCACTGCTCTGGTCTCATTGGCTTAGTGGGACTCTGGTCCTGTAGGTGGTGGGGGCGGCCAGTGTCCTTGCCCTGTGCCTAACGTTGAAGACCCTGTTTCTTCCTGTAACATGATACCTGCCGTGGGGACTCTCGTAGCACATTCTACACCTAGGAAGTGGTCTCTCTCTCTGAGTGAGGTGACCTGCCGTCTGAAACGGGTGTTGAGTTTTCTGAAGGCCTCGGTGGTTTTCACTTCTGGGTTTGCGTAGCTAGTGTGATGTTTCAAGGCTCAGGAGCCAGCTGCCTTCTCAGCGTTGGGCCTCCCCCCATAGGACCACTGTGGCTTTGGGGCCCCTGTGGCAGTGCGTCACAGCCCCCCTTCTCGTTTTTCTAAAACTCAGCTCACTGGACTCCTGCAAACCGTGGGGCCCCTGTAGGCGGGATTACCGGCTGTGGTCTGACTTTCTGAACCTCACGCTGACCAGTTTCTGCCTCGGCTCAGGGGCCGCTGTCCCAGCTCTGGAGACCATCTGGGAGGCTGGGTGGGCAGGGGAGGTGACGCAGACCGAGCACAACCAGCTCCTGCCAGCAGCACCGTCGTGATCCCCGAGCCCTTCTGGAGTGACATCACTCCCCAGGAGCCTTTCTGCTCTGGTCTTCAGTACGTCTGGGGTGAAGTCGGGCCCACCCTTCGTTCCCTCCTGCTTGCTCTACAGTCACACCCGCTTCTCGAGCCTGACGGTCTTGCTCTCTCGCTGGTCACCCTTCAGAGGCTTCCCGTAGTTCATGGTCTTCTGCAGAAGGAGCCTTTGGACTTGACCAGCACTTTTCCTCTTCAGGGCTGACTTCTGCTCAAAGGACAAAGATGTGGTTCGTTCTGCATTTAACACTTTGACTTTTCCACAGATCCGTCCATAAAGAAGAGGTCTTCTTCGTTAGTTTCTTTAGGATGCTGAAATAGGAATGTCCACAGTGAAGGCTTGGGAAACCCTCACGTCTCTCCTTCCGTTTGTCAGTTTCTGGAGTAACAAGTTGGTGCCCGGCAGCCTCCGAGGACGGTCAGCGAACTGTCCGCCATCGTGAACTTGTGGGCCTTGCCTTCTTGATGTGTTTTGATCCATTGTTTTTGATGCCCCATTGTCCTGCTGTGGTGTTGGCACGAGTGTTTGTGTTGTTATGTTGTCACATAACTTCTGTGGTCACCAAAAACATCCCTGCTCTCTAAAGTGACATGTCCTATATGTCCCTGCTGCAGACCTGGAGGGAGCCCCTTCTGTAGGGAGTCCTGCTTCCTCTTAGCGGGAAGTGGTGTTTAGACACCACGGTTGTGTGCGAGGTGCTCACTGCTGCTGGGTTGCGGGGCTTCCACGGCTGTGCAGTGAACAGAGCTGGGAGCGGACACTGTAGAAGGGAGGTTGGGGGTTTGTTTTGCTACTTTTGAGTCACATCTAAGATGACAGGGCTTTTTCTCATTTTCCACAGTTTGTACGTGTTGTTGTTGCCGTAATTCCCCTCGGTTTCAGGCTAGCAGCACAGGCTCATCACTGTTGGTAGGACCCTCGGGAACCATTAGGGCTGACCGTCCTGCTCCTTGTCCTCAGGATCTGTCCTTTAGGCTGCACAAGCAACATGCTGTCTTTTCAAGTCACTGAAATCGTTCTTCGCACGGTTATGCTACCAGCGCAACATTTTGTTAGGCTTGTTTGCTTTTTTGTTCCAAGTTCTTTTTCTTGATTGTATAAACCTTTACATGGATCTAAAGTCCAAACTAGAAAACAAGGTCCCTGTGAAAATCCTGGCTTCATCTCTGGCCCTCCACCCCATAGTCTTGTTTTCCTTCTTGGTCTACCCTGCCCTTGTTTCTAAAAAGTACAAGTGAAGATGTCACGTAGTGTCACACACAGAAAAGCTACAGGGAAAATACCAGGAGCTTCCTACTCAGACCACAAGCCGGAGTCACCAGCTGTCCTGAGGATGTCCTCTGTAGCTGCTGGACTCAAGGGGCATGGCCCCTGTACCTCCTTCAGTCTGAGAGGTCTGTCCCAGCCCTCATGACTCTGATGCCTCGTGAGCAGAGACCCTTAGGGGCACATCCTTTACTTTGGTTTGTCTGATGTTTCCTCACGATGAGTTTCTGTGTGTGTGGTTTTGGCAGGATGTTCACTGAGGTGATGCCGTGTCTTCTCAACCTCCTGTGAGACCGCTTGATGATATCTGTCCCATTATTGACAAGCTTACCGCCAGTCATTTGGCTTTGGTGGTCTTGGCTAGGTTTCTTCACTGCAGAGTCTCTTTTCCTTGTGTAACTAACAAGTATCTTGTGGGAGGTGCTGTGAGATCCTGTCACTGTCCCCTTCCTTGTCACCTTTCCACTTCCTAGTGCCAGCCTTTTCCAGTGCTTCTTGAATTAGTTCTTGGCGTGGCTCAGTGGTGATGGTCTTGCCTGTGGTCCCGGCAGCTGCTCTGCTGTGATGTGTTCATCCCTTTACCCGTCTGTGTGGACACTCAGATTGGTACTCTTTCCAGTGGATCATCGTTTGTTCCTGCCATTACTCAAACTGTCCCTGACCTGGCCAGTGCAAGGGTCCAGGCTGGTCCCTTCCTGGCACGGTGTGTTCTGGCCTCATCTCACTCGTCCCTGCCCAGCCCTGGACAGCATGATTCCCTTTGTACAGTGGTCTTTAAGAGCTGGGGTGTGCTCATGGCTGTCAGGTGGGCGTGGCCTCAGGACCTTCCGTGGACAGAGCACACACGTCAAATAACTGGGAAAGCCCACTTGCCCGCCCACACCTCAGCACCTGGGCAGCCCCTTTAGTACCAGATCACCCTTTTCTCATCATCCTTGTCCCTGTGTGTGCGGCCATCCTCCCTGCCCACCAGCACCCGCCTCCCAGCGGGTCTGACCATTTTGCCCAAGCAGGAGGAAGGCTCCTTGCTGTTTGCTGTTTAACCCGCTGACTTGGGCAGAATCTGAAGGTCTGAGTCCCCACTGTCCTGGTTCCCTAGTGCTAGCTGCAATAACAGAAACACCCCAGGTGGGGGCTTGAACAAGCAGACACCTCTTTTCTCACAGTTCAGGAGGCTGGAAGGTCACGGGCAGGGTGCCGGCTCCAGGGCAAGGCTGTCTCTCTCTTGGTTCCAGGGAAAAGTCCTGTCTCTCCAGCTTCTGCTGCCTAGTTCCTTGGGGATCTCATGTCTTGGCACCTGTGTTCCCCCATCTCTGCTTCCTGGTTCGCTTGTTTCATCTCTTTTATATCTCAAAAGAGATGGACTCAAGACACACCCTACACTAATCCTGCCTCCTTCACATAACAAAGACACCCATTACCTCAGGCATGTGGAGGAGGATTGACAACACCATGGAGGGGTGGAGGGCGTGATCCAGTCCATAACACCCCTTGTAGCCCCACTCTTACCATGTTGCCAGGTCTCTGGGGAGGTCTCTGCTTTACGTATTTAGCTGCTGGCTTGTTCAGCGTGTAGTTTATGACACTTGACCCTCCTTGCGCATTGTGCCTTCTGTCCAAGTCCCTCTTTGTCCCTCGTTTTGTCTGACCTTGAACCTCGTGTTACCTGGGGTGTTACTTCCTGTCCTGGCGTTCTCAACCTGGCACCCACTGCCCCCCCTTTTCCTTTCCACTTTACAAGGCACGGGGGCTGGGCCTGATGTTTCATCCACATTGACAGTGTCCCTCCTTCAGGGTTCCCCGCTGCCACTCAGGTGCCCCCCATCTCCCTCCCTGCTCCTGTGCAGGTGGCACCAGTCCTTCCCTCCTGTCCCTTGGGTTAGTGGTTGAAGTGTTTGTACCTGTGTTTGTCCTTGACACTCATATCCAAGCACGGTCTTGACCAGATGCCATCACACACCAGGAGCCCCACCCACCTGCCCTACTGCAATAGGCCGGCACTGTGGCCTTTCTCCCCAGACCCCTCCAGCCTTCCCAGGCCTGGGTCTGGACTGAGGACCTGAGGCCCAGGAACGAGGACCAAGCTTCTCGCACACAGTATGCCGTTTGTCTGAAGAGTGCTTACCACTCACACCGCAAACTCTAGACACGGCCTCCGCCCAGAGTGTGCCGCCCTGGGCCCAGCTGCACGCGCCCCTCCCTCTCCTCATACTGTCCACACCCTGAGTGCCTGGACAGTTGGCTTATCCCCGCCCTCTGCTGCAGGTGTCAGCCCAGAGCCTGGTGTCCAGTAGACATGATCCGTGCTCACAGCAGCTGTGTGAGCCGTGCACTGTGGCCTCCCCACGTCACAGATGGGGACACAGTGTGGGGACAGTGACACCCTATCCAGGGCCACGCAGCTGGGCTGCCCCTGGTCTGCACACCGCGCTGCTGATCCCGGCAGGTCAGCATCAGGGCCTGCCCCCCTCATACCTGCTCTTCCCTCCTCTCAGGTGTCCCCAGGTGTCATCGTCAACCCTTTTGTAGCAGGCGTCAGCCGCCGGAACAGCCTGGACAGCATCTCCTCTGTGGACCGGGAGCTGAGCCCCGAGGGCTCCGGCAAGGTCAGAGTGCTACAGCCGGGCCGGGCCCAGGAGCCTGCAGCTGTCAGTCCCTGACCCTCACGTGCTTTGCTCACAGGACAAGGAGCTGGCTGGCCAGACCCCACCACAGGGGCCAGAGGCCACAGAAGCCACGGTGAGTGTCAAGCTGTCCCCATTGTCAGCTCTGGCTGGGCCCTGAGGGGCAGATGCGGCCTGTGGGGTGGTAGGCAAATGGGGCCAGGTGCTCCAGGGGCCTTTGTGCCCTTCTGATCAGGGTGTTGCCCGGGAGGCTGCAGCCCAGGGCACCCACATGTGTGCCCAGCCCACCTCTGGTCTCCAGACCATCTGCTGGCCGTGGCTGCCCCTGCAGTGCTGTTCCCCAGCTGCAACCTTTGTCCCACTCCCCAGGGTCGGAGCCCAGAGCTGCTGAAGCTGGACTACCGGGCGCTGGCTGCGGTACCCTGCGCTGGCAGCATGCAGAGGGTCAGTGTTGGGTTGATGCCCACTGTCTGTCTCTGCCTTGACTCTTCCTTTACCTAGCACCAAAGGACGGGGCTTTCTGGTAGGGGAGCTGGGCATAAGGTGATGCCACCCCTCGGGCCCACAGGCCACGAGGCCGGAACCTGGAGTGGGAGCAGGACAGGTGGGCCGCACTGGGGTGCTGCAGCGGTGGGGCCGGGGCTATGCCGAGGAACAGGGGCCTGGGGTGTGTTGGGACAGGCGCCAGGACAGCCCACCCTCATGCTAGGCCCCCTGCTAGCCTCCCTCTGCCAAAGGCCCTTCCTTCTCCTGGCACCAGCCCATATTGGGTCCCTGACCACACCCACTGGGGGTACATCCACTCTGGGAGAGCAGTGTGTGAGCAGGGCAGGGCAGCATAGCCCCCAAGAGTCCAGGTCCCAGGCCTCCTACTCTCTAAACTGGCCACCCTCATGCCCCTTGAGGCCCCAAGCTGGAGCCCGGCCTCCTGGCCTGGCCTCATTCCTGAGCCCACCCAATGAGGGGAGAGCCTGAGCCTTTGACAGACCTGACCTGGCCCCATCCTGGCCTTCATGCCCAGCAGGGTAGCAATGGGGTGAGGCAGAGGTATCTGAGACCAGAACCATCATGTCTCGATGAGGCTGGGCACACAGGCCTGGACAGCCTGGAGCAGCTGTGAGGCCGTGGGCAACCGGACAGCTGCCTGGGTGTGGTCCCTCGGGCATGGGCAGGGCTGGGGGGGAGAGCGTTCCAAGCTAAAGATAACTTCCCAGGATGTGTTTGTCAGCTGGTGGCAGAGCCCCGAGGGAGCACAGGAGCTGAGGTGTGCTGGGCCAGGGAACCTCTTCCGCCCTACAGGGAGCAGGCAGGCTTTGGGACTTGGGTGCAGACCCTGCCAGGCTGGGCCACTAAGCTGAGGAGGGGATGCCCCCAGGAGGGGCAGCAGCTGTGGATCTAGCTGAGGGGCCTTGAGGCTTGGCTGCCTCCGGGGCTTCAGGTCTGAGTAGGCTGGGGGCACACAGGGGGGATGGCCGGGGGCTGTGTGGGTGGGGCTTCCTGTATCCTGTGTCCCCACAGCCTTCCTCCTGATGCCTGCCCTCTCCCGTTTCGTCTTGATCTGTCCTTCTGCCTGTCTCCTTCTCTCCCCGCTTTCCCTGTGAAGCTCCAGAGAGTCCTGAGGGCTGTCCCACTACCACCCACTGCCTGGGGGCACAGCCAAGGGCCAGGCCTCCCCACGGGTGTGAGGGCAGAGGGCATGCCTAGAAGACTCCAAGCCACCGCCCTTCGGGGACAACCCCTTTGTCCTGGCTGAGTGGCTGCCCAGGCCTCCCTGGGGAGTGACCCCAGGCTGGGGTTGGGCTGGGGAGATGAGGACCAGCCTTGGGGCTGCCCAGACAAGCACCTACCCCGAGCAGCTGGGAGCCCTGGCCTCTACCCGGGCCACCAGGCATTGCCTACGTGCCACCCCGTCCCACAGGTACCATCAGGGCCCACTGGAGGTTGGACTGCTGAGGCCATCTGCTCTCCTGGCAGCCAGCGGGTGAGTGTCCTGAGATGGGTGCCCAAGAAGAGAGGAAGACAGTGGGGGCTGGGTGCTCTGGGGCCTCCTCCCAGCTGCCACCCTTCATGGTCAGTGCCTAGTCTGACCCTTTGTCACCCCCTTGGATAATGTGGCATCTTGTCTGAGGGCACAGACTGTGGACACCTTCCGGGCCCCAAGGAGCTTAAAGAGTCGGGGAGGGGAGCTGGGCTTGTATTCTCAGCTCCACACCAGTAGGCAGGGCCACGCCCACCAGGGCCACCACCCCCTCCTCCCTGCCCAGCCACCGCACCTGCTGGCCACCCCTCCGTGCTCTCCCAGGCCTGAGCTACAGTGCCCTCTGCCTGCCTGGTCTGCTGCACTGGGAGGGGGCCCTCTGGGCGCACCATGCATATGGCCCCGGACCCAGGCACCCTCCCCACCCCCACCCATCCTCGGATCCCTCCCCTTTGGCTCCCTTCGTGCCCCCTGCAGACCAAACCTGGGGTGATCCAGCCTGGCCTGGGGGTGCCCCGTCCCCTGGGGACAGAGAGGGGCCCCATTCCATGAGTGCACTGAGCCAGTAGGCAGAGGTGGCCAAGGTGGCCGGCTCCGGGCTCCTGGTGAGCCAGGGCAGCTGCCAGCCACCTGCCGCCCACACCGCTCATACGCCCCCCGGCCCCCAGCCGCCATCCCCGCCCTCCCCGGACCAGCTGCCTGCCAACGTGAAGCAGGCCTACCGGACCTTCGCCGCTGTGCCCACGCAGCGCTCGCCCGACGACGCCTCGTCCCAGGTAGGCGGGGGCAGCCGCGGGCCCCCCCAGCTGCGGCGCGGACCCCATCCCAACTGCACCCCAGAGGGGGCCGGCCAGCCAGGCCTCAGCGCCCCGTCCCCACAGCCCACCGTGCCCGGGCCCGCGGCCTCTCCTGAGCAGCTGTCTTTCCGCGAGCGGCAGAAGTACTTCGAGCTGGAGGTGCGGGTGCCCCAGGCAGAGGGTCCACCCAAGCGCGTGTCTCTGGTGGGCGCCCATGACCTCCGCAAGATGCAGGAGGAGGAGGGTGAGCGGGGGCGGGGCCT